GCTTGCATGAATTAGAGTCTCCTTTGATTTTTATAAATTCAGAAATTATCTCTTTAAATCACTTGTAAAGTGGTGCTCAGTGAAAGTGAGTGAGTGGCCTGACAGTGAATGGGAACCTTTTGCTCTCACAGCAAACCAGACTTCACCTGCAGTGCACACATGTCTCCAAACCCACAGCAACAAGATCAGGTCCTAACCCTTGCAGAGGGGTTGCCTGATGGATAGGAATACCACAATCCCCCTGCCAGTTAAGGGATATATTGTGCAACCCCTGTTTGACTCCATGGCCATTTACTCTGCTTCAGTGGGACTTAATGAAAGTCCTGCATTCATGAACTACTGTTAAACCTGTCAACTCTATGCAAACTGTAATGGTGATTTTTTGCTAAGGCAGATGATGGTCTTAATTCACAGTAAACTCAAATGTGAATTTTGCCATTTCTTTATCAGATGTGACTTGATCCTATGACCACCTAGCAGTCATTTTATGGCTCTAACTTAATTTTTAGTAAAGTGAGATAGGTTTATATTCAGAACTTGAAGGTGTTTTCCTCAACCATCATCTTGTGTCCATTAGGAAATTAATACTGAAATCAGTACCACTTGTGGTATTAGTGTTATGATTGCACTAAAGGTCAGTGCTTGAAGATGACCAACCAATATCTGTGTACTCCAATAGCTTCATCTTAATTTGTAGAGATACACATGTGTTATAGCTTGTTAATATTACAGAGAAATAGATTTCTGCATTATTAAGTTATAGGTTGACAACTTCATTTAAAAATCATTAGCTCATTTTAAATACAGTACAGACTTTGGCTAATGAGGTGTTAATGGAAGCCAAGCTGCAGCCCCTATTCTTTATAGGCTGTTGGTTAAATTCTTTCCCAGTATCCCACAGTTTGAGTTCTCGCAATGGGAAATATATAATTAAGGTGAAATCAGCACACACTGCGTGTTAAAAAGAAACTATTTACATTACAGATTGAAATGGATTTGGTTTCCAGAGGACAGGAGGGATATATTTTTATAAGCCTAACAGAGCTACACTGGAAGCATGTGGGCCTGAAAGGCACATGAAGGACATAATTGTCTAATTCAAGCATTATGCATGGTTTTCTTTGTATTTCTAATTGGTTTGGGATGCTTTTTTTCCTAGTTCATAATTATGGTAAACAACAAAGGTAATACAGTATGAAAATAAGATGTTGAGCCTTTAGAGTGAGTGGTCTGTACAATTCTGCTGCTGCAATGGGGTCTGGTGCAGTTACGTGCTGCAATTTGCACTTCTCGAGGGATCTGTTTCCTATTTTACCCACTACAATCTCTTGAGTGACTTGAGAGATTTTGGCATTACCTGACCTAAGGTTGTGTAGCTATGTACTGGACACTGCTCTCATCTGGAAAAAGTGTGGTTAAGAAGCAGTTGTACCTGCCTTACCCATTGAAATATGTCTTTTTTTACCTGTGGTTGGAACTGCTTGCAACTTTCTACAGTAGAGTCAAGCTGCAGCAGGCAGAAGGAGCAAAATGAACTTAGAAGGAAATCAGCTGGGTTAAAAAATAGATTCTCCAAGCACAAATATTTAAGAGTAACTTACTGCTAAGGAAGGGAGAGATGAAATGTTGCAGACAAAAACTGATACTCTCCATGTTCATAGTCAGATTTTAATATGTAAAATGTGTAATATAAAACATTTAATGTAGAAGAATGTAGGTTTTTTAGGGCTGACTAGTCATCCTGGAGGGCTGCTGAGGTTTGTTACAGCAGAAAAAGTATTTCATTGCCGTTTGCAGGATCTGCAGTTTCAGCAGCACACCTACTTTAACTTTCCTGATATTTGCAATTTAGAATTTATTGTAATTAAGACTAAGAGTTTCACCATGTTATCCATGATATCTTACTCTGTTCTCCAGCTAGAGGGCAGTGAAATTTACTCAGAGGCTAACAGCTACATTGAGTAACAAAAATGTAGGGAATATTTAGACTGTCCTTTCCAAATTCTAAAGTAAGCAAATATGTTTAATCAAAGTATAGTATTTTCAATTAGTAATCACCTGGATGCATAAATCATGGCTAATTAATAACTAGCCACATAACCCAGAGCTGAATGATGACTGATTCAATTTCATACATGAAAATGTTTTCTATTTTTAACAGATTTCATTGGTTTTGAATGACTAGGAAACAGCAGTTTCCCTACCAAAGCAAATTCAAATTCAATAAAGATGTTAATTCATGTTTGATATAAATCACCTTGACTTTGTACTGGGATAAAGAACTGACTTGTGATATTTGCTTATATATAGTCCAGAGAGATGTATGTACAAAAAATTGGAGGATATCATATATATATTCA